CGGACACGCAACTTTTCTTCATGTTCAAATAAATAATACCACCGTACGCAACTTTGTTTTCCGACTGAAAAGTTGTAAATAAATTCTGCACGTTTAAATATTATATATATATTTTTGTATACTATTTGCGCAAAGTAGGTAGTAAACGAGACGATGGTGTATTAGCAGCCATGTGACGAACGGGTGCGACAGTTACAGCCCGACGGAGAGACGGCAGCAGCAGCAGCATTTGTAAATGGGTGCGATTGTCTCACCGAACAACAGCAGTGTTTACACACGGTGGATCATGGGGGTGGTGGTGGTGGTGGTGGAAAAGTTAGTGGGCAGCGGTGGTTAGCGAGCAACGCTACGGACCCGACTACCCGAGTTTGATTCACGGCCAACACGGCCAACACCAGCGACGATCATCCGAACCCCGTCCCGAGCCCCGCCTAGGTCGCCTCAGTCTCAAACGAGTACAACAGTGGCCAGGGCGTAGTTGCTGGCCACCTTGTGGGTCGTGCCGCCGTTCACAGAGTGCTCGCTGACAGCACTTGCCACAACAGTCTGTTACAAGCTATTACGGGGTGTGGGCGGGGGTCTTTGGTGGTGGGAAAGTTATATAATTCTGTACCGTGCCCTCGCTCGCTCCGATTTACGAGCGAGCAGGAACAAACTGACCAAAACAATGCTGGCTCAACCTCACTTATAGATAACGCCATGCAGCCGTATGAAAAGAGTTCGTACCAAAGTGACACGCCGTGAGCTTTGCTTAGACGTAAGGAAAGGTTTCATCGCACGGATGTGTTATTAAATGATGGCACTGGCTTCGACTGATGGACTCTGCTTGTGGTTGTCAGCTGTGTGGCTAAAGGTGCAGCCCCGCGTTTGCCTGCACGCGGCACTGCATGTCAGAAGGGCCCTCTCGCTCGAGAGAACTCTGAATAGGAGGGTATATTTTTTAGCGCCTCTCTTCCACGCTGGCCTGGTTTGGAGTACCCACACTTTATCCCACTACACAACAACCTGACGATGGGTAAACTGTGGTTGCACCCGTTTGTACCACGGGCTGGACAGAGACGAGGGGTATTTAATAAACTTGCCCCGTTGTTTCTACGGCCGCGCACGGGGCATGGAATGAATCAAACCGGCGAACCTCTGGATTGCAAGTCCAGTGTAACCTTATTCACATCTCGATGTAGTTTACATATAAGTGAAGTAGGACGTATCATTACTTACGACTCGTGAATTGACTATACACGGTTCAGAAAGAGTGGAATATTCTGTTCGGTGGGTGAAGACTAAGAAATCAGGATTTAATCTGACTGGCTTCTTTCATAAGAGTTGGCAAAAATAATGATTCCTTTGCTTCCACGGAACATAAACGGCCTCTCTTTAGTTTCGTGTGTGCGTGTAACGCCATGCACAACCGCGTGTGCATTTGACGGCTCCGTTTCCAGTTCAGCAGTTCAAACGTATTATTAGACCGCAGATTCTTCAAGATTTCACACCAAGTCGGAGGAGCTTCCTCGCCCGCAAAGCTTCACGAAGCGTAATTTAATCGATCGAAATAATATAACGCACGCGGCGTTCATTCGGCTGTCCACGCGAATTCAGACAGCCGTGCAGCTCGGTGTGTCCGTCCATCCGTCCTTGCGCGAGTGCGCGCAAGTGTACGCGAGTGTGCCGGAGTGTTGCCGGAGTGTGCCGGAGTGCGCGCGAGAATTCCGTGGGTTTTGCGGGGTGTGCAGTGGCGGTGCCGGCCCATTTGGGGGCAGCCGCAGTACGTGTAGCGGTTCGCACGCTGCGATACGAACCCGGCGAGCAAAGTTCGATTCCCGCTCGCGGCTACCAACACAGGTGCTGGGCCTCCCCTGGGTCGACTCAGCCTCAAATTAGTACCTCGTGTGGTGTGCCAAAACATTGCCACTGGGGAGACAAAGACGGCCTGACGTGGTGCTGGCCATCCCACCCCCTTGTGTGACGTGCCCGTCTTAATCGGTGCTCGCTAACAGCACTTGCCCCAAACATATATTGAGGCTATAACGGGGCTCTTTGTCTTTGTATCCAACTTATAGGATGCAGATGCATGCAATGTTTTCCATATTAGTGGTGAACGTCCACTGCATTTCAGGTCATCACCTTGCAAAGAAATCAATTTCGTATGTACGGAGGTATTTTTTAAACTTTTTTTGCTTTTTGGCCGGCGAAAAGAGCACAGCTGCACCCGTGTTGCTGATGACTCAAAGGAGGTTTGAAACCCCACGTAAAATGATTCGTCTGTTGAGAATGCACACTCATGTGCGCGCGTGCCGATGCTTTCGCGTATAGGTCGTGGTATGCGTAAGGAAACTGGTGGCAGTTGACGGAATATCCACCCAAACTTATCGAAACCACGGTAAAAAGGATTTATTTGTGTGTGCATGCACGTGTGTGTGTGTGTGTCTGTGTGTGTGTGTGTGGAGCGGTAGTGTAGCGGTTAGCGCGCTGCGCTATGAACCCGGCGACCTGGGTTCAATTCCCGTTCACGGCCAACACTAGTGGCAATTATCTGAACCGGTCCTGGGCCTCTCCTAGGTCGACTCAGCCTCAAATCAGTACCTGGCGCGGTGTGTAAACATCGTCACTGGGGAGACAAAGGCGGTCGGGCATGGTGCTGTGTACCATTCCGGCCTTCATAGGTGCTCGCTAACAGCACTTGCCCCTGCAGTCTGTTAATGCTATACGGGGGATCTCTGTCTTTGTGTAACCGGAGTCGGTGGTGGCCACTGCTTTGACGCCCAGTGGGCATCTCACAGTGCCAACGAGGTGAAAAGCTCATGCCCCTTCTCGGTCAACTTTCCTCTCGTGATCAAAGCCATAGATATTACTCCGCTGTGTGGCCTCCGGCCATACGTTGTTGGGTTGTCATGGCAATCCGGCTGGACTGTGTTACTTGTTTCCTTTAGTTTACACGTTTCTTCAATGCATCACTTTCTTTTTCTTGCAGTGAACTGTAAATTGCCCGCGATGGCACGTGAAACCCCAGGTTAGTCTGTGCTCATGGCGTACCAGCGGTTTGTGGATTTTCCATAATGTGAGTAATAATTTAATAATGGTTTTCAGCGCTTCGTCAATTCACTGCTGGACGGTCTCTGTAAAGCTGCGTCGTTTTTTTTTTTGGCCATACTTCACCACGCTGGTCAGTGCGGATTTGCTGAACCAGTGCGGGTGCCCGGGACCGGTTCAGATATCACTCGCCGCTGATTTTAGCCCTTGCTGGGAATTTAACTCGGTCCTTCTGGGTTCACAGCATTGGGCATTAATCACTGCGCTCATGCTTGCACCCTGGGTTTTCCATAAGGGACGATTTATAATAAATCAGTTTCAGACATTGTACATTTAATATACCATAGGTATTATTTTCAAAGTACACCCTTCTTTGGTGAGTTAATACGTTTGGCGGTGCCCTTTGCCAAAATAGTTTTAGACGATAAAACGCGAATGTAATAAGTGATCTGTTTTTCTTCATCTATGCCTCTCTTGTTATTTTGCATCTACACCTTGACATATTTTTGGAGTTCCGATTAGTCGTAAAAAAAAAAAAATCATTTTCCGCCTTGTGCCCTATCCCCTCCCATCACGGTTCAGTGCAGCACACCACAGCGCCTTACGTTAAATGTTGTACTTTGAACCCGCACAACATGTCAGGTAAAAGGTGGCAGCCCTGCAATTACTCGCTCACACCACTGCTGGTGGAAGGGCCTCCGCTCGAGGGGAGTCGCTTGAGGGCCCCTCGAGGGTGCTTGGCCTACTCTTCCACACTGTCCGGACGTATTTTAAGAGGTGAGAGTGCCCACACTTTACCCCACCGCACGCGACCTGCCTCTCGACTAGCTGTGCTGTACCCATCTCTACTGCCGGGTCGACAGAGGTGAGGAGGGAGAGGGGGAAGCCATAAATCTTGCCGAAGATCTAACGTAACGTAACATAAATTAACATATAAAATAAAATAACACCGTGTCGTTTAAATAGTTCAACGTACGTATCGTTATAGCAGTAACACGCTCTTGCTTGCATGCATTTTCACTGGGTGACAACAGTGCAAAATCAGAAAGTGGAGGAAATTCAGAGGTCAGTAAAGTACTTTCCAAAAATGCCTTCGTGGTGCACGCCGATGAGTTTGCAAACCAATTAGCGATCGTAACTTCATTTTCTAGATGTTTAACGTCCCAACAACTTGAGCTCCACATACCCGCCGAGGGCTGGATCGCCCCTTGGAGCCAAAACGAGCGAGATTAAACTTTTAGTCTGTTTATCCTTTGCGCGCACCCGTCTAAGTGACGTTTTGTACTCCACTTTTGGCGACTGATACCCGGGCGGAAATAATTGTAATTAAGCGAGCGCACATCTTCGTCACCTCTGTGTGTGTTTTTGGGTTCTTGAATTAAATCAAATAAAAGAGGGCTGATTAATAAGGTTTGGAATGCGACAGATTTTGCGAGAGAATCTCTCGACACGTTCATTGGCCTCGCTCGTTCGCCTCGTTTCGATATTCCACCATGGGTCATCTTTCTTCAGTTGCTCACTCAATACCGCTGCCGTAAGTGAATCGAAAAGTCTTCGACGGCCAATGATTTTGCCACGCTGCAGCCACTTAAGAGCTCGCTCCGCAAACGCGTTGCTCCAGTTGCTCGAGCCACATTGGTAGCTGCGTGTACAATGGCAGCGGCAATCGGAAGGGTTCTAAGGCTCCTTTTATAATTTGCCGGCTACAGTAACTCGCCTTGCCAGGAATTCGTAAAAACGCCCGCAACTGAGACAAGTGCGCAACGCGTACACGCACGCATGTACACGCGCGCACTCACACACACACACACTCACTCCGGACGTAGCAATGAGCAATTTCCTCTCGCGCTACGCGCAACAAGAAACGCGTTCTGCAGACGTGGCGGACACTGATCGGCTGCAGCGGGGCCCTACAATGAAGGCGCCGAGTTTGTGTCGGAACATCTTTGTTGAGCATGACCGTCAATTTTTCTGTTTTTTTTTTTTTAATGACACCGTTAATGTTATTTGAATTGTTATCGCTTCCTGCGGAATATCCCGTGTCATTTCACGGCGGGCTTTTTTTTTTGTACGTTGGTGACCTCTAAAGATGCGGTGGCAAGCGGAGGTCTCCTATCCGATGCCGGTTTTCCCGCGCCTCGGGATCCCGGCAAGCGCACTCGCCTTGGAAGTCACATGGCTGTCCGAATGGAATCACCTGCAGGGCCAAGCGAAACAAAAACGCAACGGTTAGAATTGATTGCCACATTTATAGGTCACGCTCCCCCCCCTCCCCCCGCCATATATTTGCATTCGAAGTAAAGTCAGGCTCGAACGATGGTCCAGGGACTCACTGATTCAGACCAGAAACCACTCTTCTCACTGGCGATCGGGTCACCGTCAATGCCAGTGTGCTGTCGCTACTTCCACGGTTGCTGCTCCAATGAACTCGGCTCGTTTATTCCTCAACTCATTGTTGAGGATTCGGTCTACTCAGACTGACCGTTTCACATCGATTCATCTGCACCGTGTTTGGCCACCAATACTGCAGATCACAACACGACTCTGCTTTGCAACGCGCGACGTTGGAATTCCCTCCCGTCGTCTGTTGTTCCAAGATCTTACAACCTTTCTCAACTCCAGGGACGTATTCGCTGCTTGGTGTACTGCGCGTCTTTGGGCCTGTGCTCAGCAACTGTGATGAACAAATAAAATGCTGGGCTTCCCTTTACCAATAATTGGAAGATGACCAATTATTTCGTAACCAACAAAAGTTATTGGGATTTCCTGCTTGGATGGGATTCGTCTCCTTGTCTGTAGCTCTAAACTAGTGGTGGTAATTCCATATATCTATGACAAGGATCAGACTTTTAATCGGACAACCACTGTTGCAATATTTTCTAACATTAACAGAACGCTGCTTTTGGCCATATGCTTTTACACAGCCACATACAGGCTTTTTTTTTAATATTCCGCGGAGGGTGACTCTCATTTACTGAAGACTTGAAACTCCTCTCTCAGGGTTAATAATTTCACGGGCGCTTAAATCTTGAAAAATCGTCGGTTGTCCCCAAAATCCGAATCGGATGAAAAGCACACGGCGAAAGTTTTTACAGCTTGTCTCTACCACAGAGCTCCCACGCTGCTCACAAAAACAGTCGCCCGCCCCCCCCCCCCTTCTCCCAGCTTCTCACAGCAAACATCGAAGGCTAACAGAAGACGGTGCTAAGAATAATCCAGGGGCAATTCCTCAGCTGCCTATTTCTGGAACTCTTACGATCGGGAGGGATGTTGCGACCGTGGCGTAATGGTAAGCACGCCGGACTTGCAATTTGGAGCTCGCTGGCTTGATTCCATCTTCCGGCGCGGTGGTTGAAGCAATGGCAACAAGTTTCTTAAGTCACCCCAAACGCCCCCCCCCCACCCACCCATCACCGCCTCAAGTCCACAGCGCAGTGCAAATGGGTACTCCAGTTAGTCGATCGGCGGGTTGGGAGTGGTAAAGTGTGGGTTACACCCGCCTTCAACGACACGTGGCTAGCGCTAAAGAGACGTCGACCAAAAGATGCCCTCTTAAGAGGTCGCCGCAGTGGGCGGTCCTTCGGCGACCAGCAGCGGCGTGAGCAAGCGATTGCACGGCTGCGCCTTGTGAACTGGAGCAAAGAGGGGCGGCGTCATGGCATTGGGCCGAGAAAACGTTTTCGTTTTGGCCACTCTCTCGTCCGGGCACTCCGCAGCCCCATGAATTGGCCCTTTTCATTCAACCTCGGCCGTCGTCGCTGCCACAAAGAGAAGGTATGAGCGATGTATTTTTTTTCTGCTGCTGCTGGATACAGTCCACCCCCCCGCCCCTCCCCCCCCGGCTAATGCGCCCCGAAGTACGTCTGTCGCATCCATGTGGAATGTCACAACGGGGCGATCGGAGCAGGGCCCCCCCATGTTTTTTTTTTTTTTACGCCCGGCTGCTCCGCGAGGCACATCCCCCAGCGTGGCCAAAGGGAGCGCATCGCGACGGGGGAGCTCGTCGCTGCGGATCGTCGCTGCGAATCGTCGCTTGCTGGCACATTCCAAAAAGCTCCGAGATATCCGACGAATTAAATAGATCGATTACCCCCTGCCGATTGTCGGCTCGAGCACGCGGCTAATCGGATAAGGCAAAAATAATTGTGGGGGGGGGGGGAGGGGGGGGACAGGCGTTACTCTCCACGTGTGCCGCTGGACGGGAGGCGATAGGCGGGGTCTCTGTGACCTCATCGGCATCATCAGCCGTGTCAGGCTTGTAAGGGGGTTTCCTGCCGTCAGGGAGGCAGGATGTGGGGGCGGCCAACATTTTAAAAGGGGTCCAAGTATTCAGCTAAAAGTAAAGTAGTCAATGAGAATTTTGGAAATGGCCTCAGCTCTACTCTAAATCAGTGTCTTAAAAAAAAGAACTGCTCCACCATTTAAAAATATACATGCTGCCCTGGTGGCAAGCACTCAGATCCTAGGTTCTAATCTAGGCTTTGGCTGTCTATGATTATCCCAGGTTCTCAAGTGTAGTGAGTTAATGGTCTCAGACTGGTCACAGATGACTGCACAAAAGGAATCGTAATAATAAATGTACTTTTTCCATTTAATTTGCATGCATCCCAGCTCTAAGAATGTGTATATATGTATAATATCGGTTGCATGCCGTGCAACAAACATTTATCTGTAACAGGACTAGGAGGAAAGTGTTTTCCCCTTGTGTATGGATAAAATAGTCACTTGAAAGGGTCTCAGATATACTTCTGTAATAACTAGTTCTGTGGGTCACTTACTACCATGAGGTGATGCAATACTCTGCAAGAAGCACTTTGTCTCATCACATGAAACTGACATAACAATTGTAATACAATTGGGATGGGGGGAAAAGACACATAATTTAATGTACATGATGCATTGCCTGTTTTAAGAGGTGTATTGCAGCTTTAATCTGCTAATGTGCACGTACAAAATATTTGTTTCCCCAAAAACATCTACAAACATGATTTATAATAGATGTTTGGGTCAGATCACCACGTAAGTGCAATGCAAATGTGTGTCGTACACCGTCCTCCACCCGACACAACCAAGCCGTCAATTAAAAAAGAAACTCGCCAATGTATCAATGCCTCAGCACACTGACATTGTGTGTCGGAGATAAATCCCACAACATTTGAAAATTTGAAATCAAGTGACCTGGTGGCTTTTTTTTAATCACGATGGGCGTTGATCGGTCAACGTGAACTGTACCTGTGTGCGAACTGGTAGGTGCAGAGGGTTGGAGTGAAAATCCTGGTGTAGAAAATTGCGCACATCAGTCACTTTCCAAGGCTGTATATGACAGACAAGTAGGCACGTGACAACGCACTGATCCATTTAATTAAAATCGAATTTCTTATGATCACGTTATACATACACATGTTTCAAGACGTATGTGTGTGTACGAATTTACGATTTACCATTCTTCAAAATCACACCACTGTTAACGATTCATAATTGACCTTTGCGTTCAGTCACGTAATGATCATCTCGTTTACAGGACCCTTCACAACCCGACAAGGCCAACCGAATTAATTTGTCACAAACTTACAAGCGTTATAATAGTTTCAGCTCACAGCGGTGAAGTTGAAGAACGGTTTTCAAAGTCCAGTTTACCCGATTGATACTGCAATAATTGCATCAAATTGCTAACTCTGGTTAGATACTAATTGTAGATACTAAATGCGTCTAATTGCTACCCTTGAATGCGAGAATTGTTTACTTGTTGCCACGACCAACCCTCCAGCAAAAACGCCGCTCGTGCTTTTCCATGTTTGAACACATGGCGGTTATAGCTACGAGAAATGTGCACGTGGTTTCGCAAGGAGCCTACAATAAGAGCCTCAGTTCTGCCAAGGTGTGGGAATTGCACTGGAGGTGAGTGATACGTACCATGGAATATTCCGCAAATGGAAAGAACAGCACGTGCTTTCAAAGGCTGTCTGGTTGAGCCTTTGTGTGGCCTCCTTGACAACGATTATTTTCTCGTAACTCTTAACAACAAAAAGTTCGGCTGCCTGCGTAGGATTTTTTTTCGCGGTCGTGGCCCTCCGCCGTGTTTATTTCGGGTCGCGCCCCGTTTACAACATTTTCGGCGCGATGTCCGACGTTTAGCTTGCGCGCGCCAAAGGTTGGGGCACGTGAAGCGAAACGTCGGACATCGCGCCGAACAACAGGCGCTGCAATCTGAATACACGACGGAGAGCCGTCACGTTGCGGTTATTAAATGCAGGGATGTAAAATGTATCATAATTGTTGAATGGTTGGTGAGCCGTTGATGCCAAATACATTTTAATTCACCGAGCGATAATAATATAACACATCTTGGTACGTATCTACGTGACTTTACCGAAAGGCCCAAAGAATATGGTTTCAGGTACGTGAATGCGATTGAAAATTCATTCATGATTTTAATATTGCACGGTATAATTACAACAAAAAATTACTGAACATGAAATACAACGGAGTATGAAAGCGACCGATGAAAACAAACTGAACAATTTAACTTTTTAATGATATAATGCCTGGGGAACAAAGTACAGGGCGGATACGTGACAAGGTAAGATATGTGAACTTCAAAAGAAAGATTACAGTTACGCCGTGCCAAAAAAAGATTGCACTGGGTGTGTGGATGGTTAATTGACTTCAGGGCAGACGTGCGACATTCTGCTTTATACAAAAATGTCCGTGTGCAGTGCGAGTAGCAGAGGTGTAAGATTGTACGTGCGGGAGATTTAAACGAATGGTCTCAATTCGAGGTCGGATTTGGTTTCTAGAATCAATAGTCAGAAGAGAAAAACTACTTCTTATCTAATGTAGCGGTCACTAGTGGCCTGTAGAGGTCACATTAACCCATTAAAAACAACGCGAAAATACAAAACAAAAAACATTACCGTGAGCTTGTGAATCAAGATTTATCGATGAATCGATGTGCTATTATGCCTCACGGCGTGCGATTCGTATACAAGCTAAATTTGAGACAAAAACCTTTAAACGTTTATTGTTTGTGGTCGCGCCATTCAAATCAGATGAACACGTGTCAATTATTTGTACGTGAATAGCACACAACGGTAAGCAAGACGCATACCTTTTTGCCCGTGAACACAACAACGCATTGTGTGGGGGGGGGGGGGGGGGTTCGAAATCAACTTGAAAAAGTGCATCCCATGCCCACCGTTAAACTTACACGAATGCAGCCTTGCCAATAAATTCGCTTTTTTTTCCGCCGCCCCCCCAACCTCCTCCTACACCTCCCCCCCCCTCCCCCCAACGCCGAATCGCGCCTCGTGCCTTACACGCGTCGCTCTGTTGGCGCACGGCGGCGCGAAGCCGTTACCTGTGAATGTGTTGTAATGTTTTGGAAAATCACCTCGGCCAAGACCGGGAGCTGCGCTTAAAAAAAATGCCGTTGCTGTTTTTTGCTACCGCGTGAGTCAGGCAGGAGCGGCGGGGCCCACAATACGCACTTGTGTTCGACCCAACACGGCCATCTCAGCAGCCACCTACCCGTGGGTGTCACGGGAGTCTGGGCAGCCTCCAAAATGTTTTCGCATGGGCTAATAGACAACCCCCAAAATGTTTAGATATGTCTAAGCAACACCCACCATCCCCTCCTCCCGCCCCCTTTTTTTTTAGAACATGGCTATGAGAGACAATCAGAAAACGTTTGTACGTGGCGCAAATCATTTTACAGCTGCAAATCGAACGACGGTAAAACTTCGATTGGATATGCGCATTGCGTCGTGGTATTTGCGATGGCGAGTTGTAAATGTTCGCGAGGCAGGTGTGGTTATGCATGCACAGCGTTGCGATATTAACACAGCTGACGAATTGGACACACGGAACTCGACCCCGCAATCAACCCCCATCACCCCACATAAGCAGTTTGGAACCCATTAGGCCAAATTAGGGTTGATGGCCCGTAATTTATCTAGCAGTCATCTGAAACGGACTCTTCTGCCGACAATTGCTCTAATGGAGTATTGACATGCCTTGAAACATAGACGTGTGCAGTTTTTTTTGTATATTTACAGAGCAAGCTATTTCGTCTGCGGTGTCCGTGTGCCTGCGTGTGCGAAATGACGTGGTGCACGGGGCGTCAGCGCGACGTGTTAGAGTGCACCGCGCTTCCAAACCCGGCAGCCTGCGCTTGATTCCCTTACATGGCTAACACCAGCGGTCGTTATCTGAACCGATCCCTGGGCATCCCCTAGCTTGACTTCGATTCCTGGCAACGCTTGCTACAGTAACTGCCAATTATCTTAACTCGGCAGGTTGATCCAACACACAATGAGTAAGCTGGTCTGATGCGGTCAATGCCAGCACTGGCAATGACCAAAATGCTTGGTGCGTTTGCCAGTCAAAACAAAACAAAACAAAAATTAGAACAGTGCCATCGTTTTGATTTAAAGCTTTCGTGACTGCAGTAATTCATATTCTTAGTTTTTTCGGTATATTGTTTTTTATATATATTTTATTATTTTGTTGTTTCTCTTCAACGTGACTTTACCGAAAAAACTAAGAATATAGTGCCATCGTTTTTGAACAAAACTTGCTCGACGTCTCTATGGCTAAAGGGGAGAAAATTGTGATGGTGCGTGTTCTTTATTATTATTATTATTTACGGAGTATATAGGCCAATAAATGTTACGTCTTGCCCATGTGTGGCCGTCTATCCAACAACACCACTCGTCAAGTTCAAATCAAACCACTGAGGGCGTTTGGTATTTGCGCCGTTCTTAGAGCGTGAGGCTATCGGTAAGGAACGAGCAACTTCCATAGACGGGTAGAGTCAACTTCCAGTGGGGGCGATGTTGCCGTTTTGCTCAATTAAGTAACACGAGGGCAATTTTCTCACCCGGCAAGTCCACAAAAACAAACTTAACATCATCCCAACGCCAATTCATAAATGGGCGTACATTCGCGGATAGAGCTGGCACCGCAATACATTTCTAAAATATTTTCTGAACAAATGTAATCATGTTAAGTGGTGTATCAGTGAGATAAACACTGATAAATCCCTCCCCCCACCCCCCCCTGCCAGAGGTTAGATGATAAATGTATGAAAATCATGGTTACAATTCGATCTATTTTTTTTGTTAACATCATGGTAAGATAAATGGTAGCAACTTCTTGTGGCCGGTGTGAATCCATTACATACCACGCACATCCGTTGCCCCACTGCTAGATGAGGGATTTTCTCATGCTGTCACCATACGGGTGATATATTTGAGTGGTATGAGTGGTGCGGTTATGCAGTGGTTAATACACTGTACTATGATCCATTTGACCTGGGTTCAATTCTAAGCTGCGGTGCGTGTTCAACCCAGCCTCAATTGAGCACCTGGTGTAGTGCACACTCATTAGTGCCACACGACCGCTTTGCCAGCCTTAACAGGTGCTCACCAACAGCACCAGTCCCAAACCAAAAGGCTACGTGGTTCAACGGTGGATCCTGTATTTGCGTGTGGTCACGGATGCACATGCATGATCGGTTGTGTGCGATTCTTTTTCACGCGTCGACTTTTGCGACCAATATTATCCACAGCAGAGGGTTTTTGGGTGAGATCCTTGTCGAAACAGGAGGAGGATTTCTCCACAACTTTGGCTGTCCGCCTGATAATGCTGGTTGAATTGTAAATGTTGTAGGTTTACTCTCCGAGTCACAGCAGTGCTGTACTAGTAAGGAATTGTCATGTTTTGTTTACGTGACAAACCTTACTAATTGACTTTGTCGGGTTATGGCGTGTTTGAAGACACATTTCTATTAATGCAATCTAACCCAAAAAAACTCTATTATGCGATTATTACCTGTGTGTGTGTTTTTGCAGAATGGCATTTACCTCTTTGGCATTGGCAGTAGAGGCACAGCAGTCTCCGCGGTCATACTGGCAGTAGGCCCGGTTATTATGAGGATCACACCAGCCGTCCCCTTTAAAGGTATCCTGCAAATATAATGAGCGAATGCATCAGAAACGACGCACCTTCACACGTATTCTTTCATATGGCAGCGTGACATTGCACAGGCAAATCCTTTTTTTTATTATTATCTCGTGCATATGTTGAACGTTATACATTTTGGTGAGACTTCTGGTTTAAATAAAATGATAATCACAGGTGCGTGTGGAAGGACAACAAACTAAACACAAATAACTGCTCTGAAGAAATGCATATTCAATGTAGATGATTTAAAAGTGCATAGCTCCAGTTGGCTTCCTAATAACGGAAGGAGAGCGTTCCAGACGGCCGCAGAAGCGCATCTGAAAGTGCGCGATGCAGCGGCCGTCTTTGTTCGACGGTCAGCCAGCTGTTCGATGGGAACAGCAAATTAAATGTTGAATCGTAAATAGTCTATGAAACACCGCGGCTGGATAAGGGCCTCCCAACACAGTGCGGGCGAAGGGGATAATCCAACCATACTTCGCCACAATGGTCAGTGCAGTTTGGCGAAGGCGGCGGGAGTTGGAGGGGTGGGCATCGTAGGTAAGGACGGTGGAACGCGCAAGTGAAATACAAGCGGTGGAATTTTCTGCGCCACATCTTGCCATGTCCAGTTAAATATCCTTTATATCGTCAAGTTCATGATGAGCATTTAAAACAAGGTCACGCATCGATTCGCCATTTAAATTGCACTGAATACGGTTCCTGAAGAGCCTCGATAGTGCTAGCTTGGGTGACCACCGTGCTTATCAGACATGTGTAATAGGTATCGCAGTCAGCAGAGGGCAGTGCAGAAAAATTAATTGCGATTCTGCTGCTTCCTCCACCTTCACTAACTGGGACTGACCAGCACGATGAAGTACGGGGCCTCATCGACTTACGAACATTCGACTAAGGAACTTTGAAAGATACGAACAAACATGTCCGTATGTCCAGTTGCCTGTTTGGATCCAGATTCGTAAGTTCAACCGCCGCGCGATAGACGGCGGTGGTTCTCCGGTGTCATCACCGAGCATTCCCCGCTGTGCGGTTCACTACGACGTTTTCCCTGCTTTTCACGAACATTATCAACCCCCATCGTGTCTCAGAAGCGTAAGAGCGGTGAAAGTGTTGAAGGTGGTAGTAAGAAGAACCAGTGGCATCTACATCTACATGAGATTATACAACTTTTAAAGCCATTCCCCGTGTTTAGAGTACATGCCCTACGTGTTTGGAATCCACGGGAGTAAAGTTGGGACTTGCGAACAAATTGACTTACGTTCGGACCTCTGGAACCTAACTCGTTCGTAAGTAGAGGAGTCCCTGTTTAGAAAACACCCCCGCGGCTAGCCAGGCATGGGGACCCCCCCCCCCCCCGGGGACCCCCCCCCCTCCTTCACCAAACAGCGCATTGGCAATAACAGAGGCGGTTACGTGAAGACAACTTGTAAAAGCGCGACCGCTACACGTCAAATCGTTTGAACTCGCAACCCCTACGTGCCCAGTCGAGGGGCTCGCGCTTACGACGGCCGGTCGCCGCCTCCCCTTCCGCGAGGGCGCAAAAACAACAACAACAACAACAAACACCACCGGGCAAGGGAGCGCGTACAACTCGGGAGAGAAGAGAGAGGAAAGAGGGGGGGGGGGGGGGGTGGTGGGTGAGGGGCACGGAAGGACGAGTCCCCTCTTTTCAATCGTAAGCTCAGCGCGGGGGGGAGAGGTGCTAGGGGAGGGGGAGGGGCGCCAAATCGCCGTCAGATGAAAGAGCCCGGCCACTCGGGGGCGACACGGTTAAGTTTTGGCAACGAAATGAAATATTCAGGGGGAACAGTTGGCCCCACGTGAAGGGCCCCCCCCCCCCCCACCGCTGAAGCTCGAGAGAGGCACGCAGGATTTTCGGTCATTGCGTCAGCGATCTGGAACCGGATCTGTCGGTGTGCTGCAGCGGTGTGCGCTGCATCGCGCATGTCATCACGTTGTGCGTGACATTTCCACCACTCCGAATGGGGGTTCAACAAGTGCGGTGAGCTCATTTCAATGGGCTAGCTGCGTTCGTGTTTTTAAGAGCGACGTTTTACTACCTCGGCGCGTATGTGGAACACTTCATACAAAATATGGCAAGTCTTGAGCGCGGCTTTCTCGTTAACAGTACTAACTGTAAATCAACAATATATCGTAATGGAAATATAACGTTACAGAAATATAAGGGGAAGGTGGTGGTGGTGGTGGTGCAGCGGTTAAGCGTACTGCGACTCTGAACACTATGACACAAATCCGATTCCTGGCCATGGTCAACATCCACTGACCAACAACGTGGATAGACTGAACACGAGAGTGCTCTGACATTATTTGGCACGCGCGTAGGGCGAACGGATATGCACAACCAATTTCTACACGATTGTGCAATGGAAGAACACGTGTGCGAATGCTGTAATGAATACAGTTTTCATTCAAAGGTATCAATTGAAAATGCTCCCTCCCTCGTGTTGTGATACAAATCTCACGGTAAACACTGGCTCCCTTGCGCCCAGTGACTGACAGCTTTGCGCGTTGCTGTGCAGTCTGCAAACGGCTAGGGGAGCGTGTTTTATGTTTTCCACCGGGAGAGCTTTTTCACCCCTTGACTTGGTTTTGGATTTGGTGACCTTCCCCCCCACCCAGCGCCAAGACGCACACACTTTCGACAAATAACACTGTGTAAGAAAACATGTTTTTTGTTCCTGGGTAGTAAAAAAAAGTTTGCTTTTGTGACCAGGACACAAAGCAAAGTTAATAATCCACTCCATTAATAACACTGTGTAACACATTTATTATTTTGTTCCTGGGTCGTGTTATTTCACAATTTATTACGCCGCAAAAGAACATGAAATGACTTTTATTCCCCACAAACTTTGCTTTTGTGACCAGGACAGTGATATTTAGGAATTGACCTATTTTCAATGAGAAAACGTGGTGTGCATTTGTGTCATTCCTTCACATGAAGTCCTGGTCACAAAAGCAAAGACTATTGTGGATAACAATAGTCGTTTTCTATACTTTTGAGGCATAAGCAATTTAAAAAAATGACGCTTATTACCCAGGAACAAAAATCGTGTTACATAGTGTCATTATCACGCCTGCCACCGGCGTGAACCTCGTCACGAACCCACGACGCTCTTTCGCGAAAGAGTTCTCCTGCGCGTTGTGAAAAAACAGGGCGGACTGCCGTGGGGTTTGTGTTTTGTTGCTGTTGTTGTTGTTGTGTGTCGCTTCGCTTAGAGCACAGCCAGCCCTACGGTCCGGTCCGTCAGTGTGTGCCGGACGGCCATGAGCTACGATTGTGCATCGTGGTTTCCACCCCCCCCACCCCCCTCGGGTTAACAACGAGGCGTGTGCGAGGAGGTCCACCGGGCCCCTGCGATCTTCTCGTCGTGCGTGTCGCCATCTCCCAGGAGGTAGCACTGTCAATTCCCGCTCCTCGCACATTCGCCAGCGACTTTGTATTTTTTTTTTGTCCGGGCGGTGGTGGAGGGGGGACCAGGGGGGGGGGGGGGTGAGAGCAATGTTTTATTTTACAATATAATTGCCTCTTAACATTTTTGAAGAGTTGGTCACACGATACCTCGTTGGCTTTAGCGCGCAACTTTCCAGGTTTTATGAATGCGCTCAATACAACTTCGGCTTCGCTATTAAAGGCGGTTGCGTTCGGCCGTTCGCCGCAGGTGTTTAATGTCGAGCGTCGGGGGGTTGAGCGCGCTTAGTTTTGTCCGTCGTTCACACCCCCCCCCCCCCCCTGCCCGCCTGGGGAAAGCAGAACACACCCCCCCCAGATTTGGTGGTGGTAATGATGGGGCCATTCAACTCCAGGTGGGCAAAAACCAAACTTTGCTCAGAGGAACCAGCTGTTCCGTCTGCCTGTGTCGTTCTTCATAAGTCTTGGGATGCTTACATCCTTGATTGATTACTCGTATATGTGAAATGGCTTTCGTGTGTGTGTGTTTTGGAGCACAACGTGAGTTGCTCTCCGCAGGGATTGTCCTGTTACCGTGCCTCTGGTTAGCAGGTAACATTTTTGGCTGCGCGCTCATCGTTCCAATGATCAGGGCATACTCTGGAAGCTCTCAGTCAACATCTGCTTAATAGGTCACTTCTTGTTCTCTGTTGCCCGTGAAATCTGGAACTCCCTGCTCCTTATCTAGCTCTGTGCTCAACACTTTAATCTTCTCTTATACCCATGACTGATCGCTCTATGTAAAAACAAAAATGTAGAGCAGATGTATTCACATATCTCCGTCTGTTTTGGATGGTCCCAAGTGACATCCTACTTTCTGTGCAGCGTTTTGACATTCGGCCGCGTTTTCTCACGGCGTAAATCCAGGTCACGGTGTGCATATGTACACCTGTGTAAAACATTGTACTTTAAGTGGCTCATTGTCCCTTTTTATTTCAAGCTATACAAGATTGTCTCGAAATCTTCGATAAACCCGAAGTGTTTATAGTTTCAGGCTCGCGTTGGCAGGCCCCACTCCCTCGTCTGTCAGTTGAGATGTTGCGTCTGTGTAGAACTTCCTGAATATTTACGGCAATGGCCAGATCACGTGCAGTGTTGCCCCCATCTCGTCGGGTGTCAGAAAGAATTTGAGCCTTGGCCGGAGCTTTGACGGTGTGAGACCACCAGCATTTCCAGGTCGTCATGGGCAGCTCTGGAGCTACATGTTGGGCAGCAGAGTTCAGCAATGCTTCCACCTATCCGCTCCCTTGCCCTTTTACCGACCCATACCGAGCAATGTGGTGCGGTATGGTCAAGCAACACCTGCTGCCTTGCACGACAACGGGGGTAGGCCCTCATCCAGCAGTGGATTGACAAATAGGTCAAGAGGACATCGGGGCCCTAGCTGCGGTTGAATGCAGGCCACAACTAACGTCAGGAGCTTTCGACAATACGTGTAGTCTACTGGGGGGAGGGGGGGGATGCCCTGCTCCAAGTTCACAGGTGTTGGCACGGCTCGGCCTTGTACTTCAACAGCACGCCGTGAGAAGGCTGCCG